GATAACTTTCCAGGGGAATTCTATCAAACATTTAAAGAAGAGTTAACAACTATTCTTTTGAAGCTGTCCCAAAAAATAGAAATGGAAGGAAAACTTCCAAACTCTTTCTTTGAAGCCAGCATTATTTTTGTTCCAAAACCAGACAAAAGCCCCACTAAAAAGGAGAATTATAGACCAATTTCCTTGGTGAACACGGATGCAAAAATTCTCCACAAGATACTAGCCAACAGAATCCGACAATACATTAAAAGACTTATTCACCACAATCAAGTCGGAGTTATTCTCGGGTGCAAGATGTGATATATCAAATTAACAAAAGAAAGGACAAGAACAACATGATCCTCTCAATAGATGCAGAGAAAGCATTTGACAAAATACAGCATCCTTTCTTGATAAAAACCCTCAAGTAAGTAAGGATAGAAGGATCATACCTCAAGATCACATAGGCCATATATGAAAGACCCACTGCTAAGATCACCCTCAATGGGGAAAAACTGAGAGCTTTCCCCCTAAGGTCAGGAATACAACAGGGATGTCCATTCTCAGCACTGTTATTCAACATAGTATTGGAAGCCTTAACCTCGGCAAAAAGACAATACAAAGAAATAAAAGTCATCCAAATCAGCAAGGAGGAAGTCAAACTTTCACTCTTCACAGATGACATGATACTCTACATGGAAAACCCAAAAGATTCCACCAAAAAGCTGCTAGAACTGATCCATGAATTCAGTAAAGTCACAGGCTATAAAATAAATGCACAGAAATTGGTTGCATTTCTGTATATCAACAATGAATCAGCAAAAAGAGAAATCAAGGAATCATTCCTATTAACAATTTTACCAAAACCCATAAAATACCTAGGAATAGACCTAACCAAAGAAGTGAAAAATCTATACACTGAAAATTAGAGAAACTGAAGACACATACAAAAATATGGAAAAATATCCCATGCTCATGAATTGGAAGAACAAATATTGCTAAAATGTCAATACTACCCAAAGCAATCTACATATTCAATGGAATCCCTATCAAAATAACACCAGCATTCTTCACAGAGCTAGAACAAACAATCCTAAGTTTTATATGGAACTAGAAAAGACCTCAGATAGCCAAAGAAATCCTGAAAAAGAAAACCAAAGCAGAAGGCATCAGAATTCCAGACTTCAAGATGTATTACAAAGCTGTAACTATCAAGACAGTATGGTACCAGCACAAAAACAGACACTCAGATCAATGGAACAGAATAGAGAACCCAGAAATGGACTCACACACGTATGGCCAACTAATCTTTAACAAAGCAGGAAAGAAGATCCAATGGAATAAAGACAGTCTCTTCAGCAAATGGTGCTGGGAAAACTGGAAAGTGACATGCAGAATGAACTTGGACCACTTTCTTACATCACACACAAAAATAAACTCAAAATGGATGAATTAAAAAAACATAAAACAGGAAGCCATCAAAATCCTAGGAGAAAGCAGGCAAGAACCTCTTTGACCTTGGCTGCAGCAACTTCTTACTCAATATGTCTCCAGAGGCAAGGGAGGAAACAAAAGCAAAAATGAACTACTGGGACCTCATTAAGATAAAACCTTCTGCACAGTGAAGGAAGCAATCAGTAAAACCAAAAGGCAACTGATGGAATGGGAGAAGATATTTGCAAATGGCATATCAGATAAAGGGTTAATATCCAAAATCTATAAAGAATTTATCAAACTCAACACCCAAAAACAAATAATCCAGTGAAGAAATGGGTAAATGACATGAATAGATACTTTTCCAAAGAAGACATCCGGATGGCTAACAGACACATGAAAAAATGCTCAACATCACTCATCATCAGGGAAAGACAAATCAAAACCACAATGAGATATCACTTCACACCAGTCAGAATGGCTAAAATTAACAACTCAGGCAATGCAGATGTTGACGAGAATATGGAGAAAGAGGAACCCTTTTGCACTGCTGGTGGGCATGCAAACTGGTGCAGCCACTCTGGAAAACAGTATGGAGGTTTATTAAAATATTAAATTAATTGACATATTAAAAGTATAACTTCCCTACATGCCAGCAATTGCACTACTAGGTATTTATCCAAAGGATACAGGTGTGCTGTTTCAAAGGGGCACGTGAACCCCAATGTTTATATCAGTGCTATCGACAGTAGCCAAAGAATGGAAAGAGCCTATCGACAGATGAATGTCTATCGACAGATGAATGGATACAGATGTGGTGTATACACACATACACACACACACACACACACACACACACACACATTCACAATGTAGTATTACTAGACAATCAAAAGAATGAAATCTTGCCATTTGCAACAACATGGGTGGAACTAGAGCATTTTATGCTAAGTGAATTTAGCCAGTCAGAGAAAGACAAATATCATATGATTTCACTCATATGTAGCATTTAAGATACAAAACAGATGAACATAAGGGAAGGGAAGCAAAAATAATATAAAAACAGGGAGGGGGACAAAACATAAGAGACTCTTAAATATAGAGAATAAACTGAGGGTTGATGAAAGGGTGGGGGGTGGGCTAAATGCGCAAGGGGTATTAAGGAGGACACTTGCTGGGATGAGCACTGGGTATTACATGTAAGGGATGGATCAATGAAATCTATCCCTGAAATCTTTATTGTATTATATGGTAACTAACTTGGATGTAAATTTTTTAAAAAGAGGGGGGAGTACCAGATCATGTTATACAGCCATTTGTACTCTAAAGTCACAGTTCTCACTGGTTTTTTTTCCTGCCATAGCATATGGAAAATGATGTTTACATTCTAGACAGAGTCCTGGGAGCATAGCAGGTTTTGACAAAATTCTTCCCTCCCTGACAATTCTTTCCAGAACATTAAGACAATACAGGCTGTGGCTGTTGGCTGTACATAATGTTCCTTTCATCCAAGCATGTTCCTTTCTATCCAAAAACGGTAAATCAAATGTTAAGTAAGTGAAAATGCATTAATATAGTCTGCTTTTAAAAAAGTAATCACCTGCACATTTCAGTGTTTTGCCATTCCAAGTAACAAATATTTAACATGGAACCTACAATTGCCCAGACCAACCATGACACCTTGTTCCAAACTCACCTCCTTTCTGTTGGAGAGCTCTGTTTATGTCACCTTTTCTGGGGCATGTGGGTGGATCAGTCAGTTAAGTGGGCAACTCTTGATTTTGGCTCAGGTCATGATCTCCCCTTTGTGGGATGGACAGTTTCTGCACTGACAGCACAGGTCTGGCTTGGGATTCTCTGTCTCCCTCTCTCTCTACCCCTCCCTGACTCATGCTCTCTCTCTCTCAATATAAATAAAATAAATGTTAAAACAAAAACAAGTCACCTTTTCATTATCTTAGGCTAGAGACACAGAGAAAACAACTGGAACAGAGCATAATTTGCAGATGAGGTGAGCTAAGTGGATGGGGCTGCTACCGGTTGTTGGTGATTTGATAAAGTAAAAACACTCCAAATTCACCCACCACACTAAACAGAATGACCTTTGTAATGAGCAGAAAAATAATTTTCTGTTAAGATGGATAAAAATAAAGATTTTTTTTCACTCGAAAGTAGAATAACCTATAGCTAGCATAACCCAAATAGTAGAATAGTAGAATAACCCAAATGTTCTCATATGCACTGATGTGTCTACTATATCAGTAGAAACATTGTTCCTTTATGGGTGAACTTTAGCATCCACTGGTGACACTATAGTATATTGTTTTAAATGAGAAATATGTCAGTAAACTTTTAAAAACTGGATGGAATAGCAAACTGTAAGTCTAAACAATACAATATATTACATGTAAGCTGTGCTATAATGTGATGAGTTTGCTTAAAGGTCAAGAGATCTCATCAATTTCATGGATATAAAGTAAGTCTTAAACTGGGCCAATTCAACATGCCCTTTAGAAAAAGGAATTTCTATTATGAATCAGAACAGAATTGTGAATTGCTTACATAAATATGTGTTCTGTTCTTGCTATTATGAAATCAATCAACAACAATCATTTTAGCTTCACGATTATGTTATGTATGAACTTACCTTATGCCAAACAGCATGGTCAGCATAACTATGGACAACTTAATAACAAAACCATCTGTTTTTGCATCTATGCTGATGGTGTAAATGGCCCCAGACTGTCAGTAACTCTTCCAGTGCAAATTTAATAAATGTGAAGGCATGGGCTAATGTTACAATAAATCAATTCACATCACTTATGTTCACCATAGGTGTTAACTCTACAAAAGAATGTGAATTAAGGAAGCCAAAATGAAAACAGCGTTAAGCAATAATTTCGAATTAACCAAATAGTAAGCCAGAACTCAAGAGTCATACGTTTACACATATGTTAAAAGCACAATTGCTATACTTTTTCCCCAAATTGTCCAGGTTTAGCTCACAGTTTTATGACTACTGTTGTACTTTGGTTTTCTTTAGTAGAAATTTGAAACATTAACTAATACACTCATTTCCCCCAGTCAAACCATTACTATAAACTTTTATGTTTTAAGAATCCATAACTTTTAAATTATTTAAAAAATGGTACAATATTGTTTTAATTAAACAGAAATAACTAAAAAGGACTATCTATGTCAGAACAAAGGAGATAAAGATAAATTTCACTACCTTATATCATATAGGCATAGAGCTTATAGAAATACGAACATAAAACAGTCACTATTTTTTTCTAGGAGGTAGGCATTTTAAGCACAAACAGTTTAACTGGTTAACATACCCACCAAGGCAGAAATGTAAATATTAGAAAAACAGCCTACAATATTTCAGTCAAATAAGTGAACACAGAAAGCATCTTGATACTGTTAAATTGCCAAACTAAAAATGGTGGTCAAATAAAACAAAATTCTCCTTCTGTTTGTATTAAAATTACCTCCCAAGCATCATTCAGACCCATTCAGACCAAACTATACATCTGTGTTCGCCCATTGTGTGCTTGACATCAACTTGATCTAATAAGTACTACCATGATCTCTGAGATTGCGAAGAATCACAGCGGGAAGGCTATGGGACTGCCACCCCGTCACTAACTTGGCCTCTAGCTCCTTAACGTGGGCCCTGAGCATGAGGGGTGGTACTTTCAGAAGCAGGTCAAGAGGCAGCAAAGCTGAAGAAATAAAAGGGGGAAAGATATGAAACTGTAAAATAAATCACACTTAATATCAGGGAGGCATGAGTGATTTTGTTACTGCCAACATGAAATTACCTGGTCTTGGTCTGGATCCTATTCCACCAGTGAAGTCCCTGAAAACAGAATTAGGGGCCATTAGGAGAACTTAATTCAACTTGGACTTGACTAACATTGACTGAAAGCCTATACCCCACTATGGTTTACATTGTAAAAATTGAAAAAAGAGGATTTTTCCCTCAAGATGCTCTCAGGAGCTTAACAAATGGGAAAATAAGCCCATTTAAACCCACAGCAGATCTGACATTCTACTGGCACATGGAAAAAGCCTGTCTTATCACAATGGTTTAGAAGCTCTAGAATAATTAAGAACCTACATCTTACTGTCTTGGGTACTTTTCTTATTATGGCTTAAAATCAAAATAGTGATATTCCATTCAAAATAAGTATTTAAAATTTCACATGCAATATTTTTCTATGCTTTGTTTCTGCTGTCTTAAAAAAGAAATTATAGCTCTTCCTATGAAATGGGATGATTTTTGCATTTAAGAGGATTATATTTTTCCTTACGTTTCCAGTGTTATTAACATCAATTGTTTGCCTTGCCCTAAAATTCTAGACTTCCTGATCATTTTGCATTTTTGGTCTCAGTATCTTCCACCCTGTGAGGTGGCCTTAGATCCCACCAGGGACAGCCATATATTACCTTCAACTTTGTTTTTTTTCCATTGTTTTCTAGAGCCAATTTCTTAATAGTTATTTTGGAATGAAATAAGAAACATCTGTGCCCTGACAATTCATAACTATACTAAACTTCATGCAACAAAACCTAATGCAAAATCTAGGTCAGCTAAAACATACCAAACATCTACTACATTCAAGGGATGATAGGTGTCACTGAGTAAGAATGAATATAGTGATTAAAAAAATTAATATTTGTGTTTTTGAGAGAGAGAGAGAGCAAGAGGGATAGGGACAGAGAGAGAGGGGGACACAGAATCCAAAGCAGGCTCCAGGCTGTGAGCTGTCAGCGCAGAGCCAGATGCAGGGCTCGAAATCATGAACCACAAGATCATGACCTGAGCTGAACCCCTTAACCAACTGAGTCACCCAAGTGCCGGATATAAATGCAAATAAATATGACTAATAAATCTCTTATCCCAACACTTTCATTTTAAGTATAGAGTTCTTGACACATAAATGCAACACATACCTTAACTTATGAAGCAAAACAAAATTGGCACTCATTTACCCAACTAGAGTCCTAGATTAATAGCAAAGTCTTTGGATCTGATGGCAATTTCCTTCCCTTCCTTTTCCCCACACGAAGCCAGCCCTCTCCTGATCCCATTATTTTCTCTGGTCCTTTCCCAGTCCAAGTTTTCAGAACCTTGCAAAGTCAGTGACACTTGCTGGCCATGTACAGTTAATACACTTTCTGTAGTTCTGGGACAAGCTGCATGTTTAAAGAAAGAAAATGGATTGCCCCTAGCCTCAGAAAGTTCAAAGAGGGGCATAATCTCAGCAGCATCCAGAATGGGCAGGACGCCTCCGGCTGAGAAGTAGAACATCTGCTCCCGCACGTCATATTCTTGCGTGAGTGCTCTATCACAGCAAGTGCGAGTGATAACCTGTGCCTTCGCCTTCTGGATAGGTCTGGTGCAGCCCAACAGAAATATAATGCAAACCACACACGTAAGTCTACTAAATTTTCTGGTAGCCACATTTTTAAAAAGTAGAAATAAAGAAGTGACATTTAAGAACATACTTTATTTAACCAAGCATCTTTAAAATATTATCATTTCAGCATGCACTAAATACAAAAACTAATGAGATCCTTGACATTCAGTTTTATATTTAAATTAATATTAAAATGAAATTAGAAATTTTGTTCCTCCATCACACTAGTTACATTTCAACTGCTCGAGAGTCACACGTGGCCAGTAGCCTCCATATCTGACAGTGCATTCCAAAGTCACTGTCTTCATAAAAATTATGACTGAGGCTAACAGTCATGCCACATACCTGTTAAGCCTGCGATACCTCTTGGACTATCCTAAAAAGTGAATTAAAATTTAATTTGTAAAGGGAACCTGAATGGCTCAGTCAGTTAAGTGTCCAACTTTGGCTCAGGTCATGGTCTCATGGCTCATGAGTTCGAGCCTCGTGTTGGGCTCTGTGCTGACGCTCAGAGCCTGGAACCTGCTTTGGATTCTGTGTCTCCCTTTCTCTCTGCCTCTCCCCCACTCATGTTCTGTCTGTCTGTCTCTCTCTCTCTTAAAAATGAATAAACACTTTAAAAATTAGGAAAAAAATGTAACTTGCAAAAATCTCTTATTCCTAAGGTTACAGGTACTTTTGATTTATCATAAGCACTTACATGTCGAGTTAAGTAGATGGCTATCCCAGTTGTCCTGAAGAATCCAAAATTCCAAACATTTTTACATGGTAAAAAAAATGGACTAGTGATACATGTGAAATTGACTATCTTGACAATGCTGAGTTGCTGCCAACTTTGCTACTCCTTAATACAATTCTAAATTCTTCTTTAATGAACTTTAGGGGATCTTTAAAAATAACCACCACACATTCAACAAATATTGATTAAATGCCCACTGCGTGTAGAAACTATGCCAGACATCAGGGATGGGACGGTGAAAAGAAACAGTCCTTAGTCTTGGAGCTTATAAGATCGTATAGGTATAGCAGAGAAACTGTTAATTTCTCTGCAAATCGTATCATGGATCACAAGAAAGCATACTCATCTGAAATTGCCAAATAGAACAGACTAATTGTAGCCAGAAGGGACAACATTTAACTGTACAATTCTTGGGTCCAGATGGACAAAAGATTGAAATTATGCAAAGCCAGAGGGAAGTCTGCCTCTAGGACCAGATTGAATGTTTATGCGCAATAGAACACTCTGGCTGCAGAAGACGGTTTCCCACGAGTGTAAGCTGGAAAATAGGCAGAGATGACTTAACACAAAGAGAATATTCTAGAAGTGTTTTCTGGTGAAAAAGCTTAATATAATGAAGCTTGTGTCCTCTGAAACTTTTAAAGTGGACATTGACTAATAGAACATCAGGCTGATGAAACAGAATTTCAGAGACATGGAAGGTTTCAAAGGATTCCGAAAGGTCATGCCTCCCAGCTCTCTTTAGATCTGGGGTGACTTCATCCAGAATTTATAAGCCAAGGCAGAAACTGAGGCACTGGATCTGAGTGTTAGCCCACACTTCCACCACAAACCAATAATAAGGAAGGTGGGGACTGACGGTATTAGCTTTGTAATTTTTAAATCAACTTTTTGCTGAATGAATTCAAGTGCAGGGTAAATTCATGGGATAATTATTGTGTTCTGAGGAGTCCGGGCCATGAGAGAGATGGGGTTCTAGAATTTTATACCTTGTACAATTTTTTCGAATATACTTCTGAACCAAGGAAATATTCTCATGTGCATAGGAGGCACATTACATAGATTAATTCAGTTGTGGAAAGTAGTCAATACTATTTGATGTTGATAAAAAAGAAGAAATATTTAACATTCTGAAATGAGAAGGTGGACTTACAGTGCTAAGATAGCACCGTCTAAGGTGACTGCAATCACACCATCTCAGCTAACTAGCATTTTGCCACTTGGAAGTCTCTGGGAGTCACATTCATAAACGTGTCCTGTGTGAAAAAAATGGCATTATACGAAGGGTTGAGCTCTCCTGTTGCATAGGGGCTTCTCACTTATCTATAATGTTAACAGAAGAGGTGCCACTACAGGAAAGGAGAATCAGGCCCCTGGGGCTCTCCACTTCTACTCCAATAACAACTAGAAACAAACAATTAGCCATAAAAGTTTAGAACTATCACAGAAAAGGAATAGAGTGGTCTTACCGATCGTTGTTTCTGTGAGGCTGCTTGATTGTGACATTGGCAGGTAGGCTAGGTTGATTCAGGCAAGTAATGATCAAATATTCAATTTAAGTAAAACTAAATATGGATTATGAAAAGGGCAAGTAGAGAATACCGACAACTCAAAATAAGCAAGACTTCCTCTGAAAGGAGGCAAGATCCATAGGCCCTGAGGTCTTTCTGGTCACATATATGACGCTGGATGGTCCCAAATGTCCACAATCATCTTTTATGTAACTCAAAGACTAAAGCCAGGTGCACATCCTTAAGCACAGTTATGCATATCCTGATTTATCAAAGAAGTTGTGAACCAAAGGCATCTCCAATACCACAAACATCCAATGTCTCAAACCAACCTGCCAACTACGCCCTGTTGCCTTGGCAACAGGATGCAAGCAGGCATGGAGAAATCTTGTTGTCTGAGCAACAGAATTTTACAAAAAAAATTAAAATAGGGCCTTAAACTGTGACTAAGGCAAAGGCTTGTAGGTTCAAGTCAATAGGAGGGTATTTTAGTCCCATTCCAAAGAGAGGTATAGAATTCAGGCTAAGATAACGGTCATTCCTCTGTTAATAAGTATTTGGGGGCTGGCACCTATGTGCAATACACTGCCACCTGGGAAATACAAAGATGGACTAGGCACTGTCTGGTATATGCCAGCACACAATAATAAATATTAATTGAATGAATGGATGAACATTCTTAAGAAAATCATAATACAATGACCAAACTTACTAGGACTGAGTGTATGTAATAGTTAGAGAGGTTGAAGCCCCTGTGTGCATTACCAAATTCCCCTATACAAGATAATTTATAAATTAAAATAAAAGGACTCATAGGATTAGATCGATCTATCTATCTACCTATCTATGTACTGAGACTATAAAATCCAGATAGAAAATAGTAAAAGTCATGCCCATTCTTAATTCTTTCCTAACAAGTAGTAATGGAGGCAGGAGATTTTTAGATCATTTAGATCACTGAAAATGATTAAAATTAGAAATTTCAAAAAAAGGCCTAATTATTGAATTTTTGGGTTTTTTTCTTGACACAGACATTAATTAATCCAGCTTTTGACTAACTCTTATCAATGTTCACAAACCATCAAACAAACAGCAACAATAAGAATATTTACTTAATAGGATTATTTCAAAACAGATAATACTTTGTGACAGACGACTACAAAGAGTGAATCTTCTACTCTGTACG